AAAAAATAAAAAATAAAAAAATTGACGAGTACGGGTACGGGTACGGGTATCTCCGATACCCGACGGGGACGGGGATGGGGATGAAAATCCATACCCGATGGGTATGGGGACGGGGATGGGGATGAGTTTTACTTGCGGGGACGGGGACGGGTATCATGAAACCCGTACCCGCCCCGCCCCGTTGCCATCCCTAGTACAGCTTCATAACAAGATTTTAAATAAATAATTTCTCCTTTATAATTTTCGACATTGTATAATATTTAAACATTATTGAAACAATCTTAAAATAGACATCGTAGCAAGCCAATCATCCCCATACGTAGCATCCAACGTCTACATCTATTTTGTCCGGAGTTTTGAGTTGCTCATTCTCCAGCCTGTAACATGCTCGAATACCTGAAAACTTCAACTTCAAAAACGACAATTAAGGGATGAATATTGTGGAAAACTACTGCTTTATGTTGTTCAATACAACCCAAAAAATATGATAAAACTGAAATAATGTTGGTTTAAGGAAATAACCTCAAAGAAAAAGCTATTGGTAGTGATACATATCCAAGTTAGAATAGAAGTTTTTGGAAAAATGAGATCTATACAAGATAGTCAATAAGAGCTATACAGCAATTTAGCATAATCAAGCTATTGATTGTTCAGTACATCTACATAATAATAGAAATGAAAGTGTACAAACCTCAGGCAACTGTAAATAATTGACGGTCATAGAGGGCGTTCTTCAAGAATCAGACAAAAGCATTAAAAAGCAAGAGCACCCTTTAATAAGCCAATTGCAGAACTGTTCATCAATGCAAATAAACAACTCAGAGGGCACCCTTTAAGCATAAAGGGAATTCTTCCTTCCGTGATCATTGCTTTCTTATTTGTATGTAATCAAAGGAACTTATCCTATCTTTTTGCGCTAGCTAAAAAAGCCTCTCATCATACCTCTGTCTTGCCAACTCAACATGTGAATGAGTTTGCCATATAAATAAATGCTCCATTGTGTCAAAGATGGGCAAAAAGGGAAGGAGGAATGTTGAACATATTTAACATATGTAGCACTTCCCTTATCTACCAGTAGTCTTTGCAAGAACAGAATCCATCTTTGAAGTGGTGATACCTTGTCCTGTCTCTAACTATAATTACTCGATTGTAAACCTTGGAGATGAATTTTGTTGCTTGATGACAATCCCCGCAAACTCTTAAATTCTTTACAATGCGAATTGGAGTTCCATGTGCTGTGTTCATCAATCCAAAAGCAATAGCCAACTTCTCACTGTGTACAGACAGAGCAGTCTCTTTATCTTCCTCATCATAAATATCATGCAAAAGTTCTCCTAATTCTGGTACATACCCAGCACTCTTCAACTTGATTGTCATCTCATCCAAAAATGAATAAATCTCCCTACTTTGAGGATGGGATCGATCTCCAACAAGGAATTGATGGAACGTCCCCTTCAATTCAATTGAGCTGCAACCAGGAATCTTTTTTCTATCACTACTGATTTCATTCTTCTCTCTCAGCATTCTTGCTTCATTCCATCTCCCAGATGTAGAATATATATTACTCAATAGAACATGACACCCTATATGGTTAGGATCCATGTCTTTAATGATCTTGCCTATTCGATATCCCCGCTCCATATCTTTGTAAATTCTACAAGCATTCAACAGTGCTCCCCAAATTGCAACATCTGGGGCCACGGGCATACTTGATATCATGTCTTCAGCCTCTTCCAAGAGACCAGCACGACCAAGTAGATCTACCATGCATCCATAATGCTCTATTTCAGGAGCAATTGCATAATCACTAACCATCAATCTGAAATATAATTTTCCCTCCTCGACCATATATCCATGACTACAAGCATTCAGCAAGGCAATGAAAGTGACTTTATTAGGAGAAACCTTTTCAGCCTTCATTTGTTCAAAGACATTTATGGCCTCATCGGGTTTTCCATGCATCGCAAACCCACCGATCATGGCATTCCAAGGCCAAACTTTTTGCTTTACCTTGTGTTCAAGGAAAACTCTCGATGCTGATTCTATCTCTCCACACTTTGCATACATGTCAACGATGCTAGCAAGAAGCCTCTCATTCATCTTAATCTCAGCCCTCCCAATATAAGCATGGATCCACTTTCCTTGATCCAAGGCTACTAGATTTGAACAGGCTACAAGAGCACTTACAAGGGTATATGCATTTGGCTTGGAACCTATTTGCAACATCTTGTGGAAGAATTCCAAAGCCTCCATGAAACAACCAACCTATAATAAGCATGAAGCAACTTTAGACATAGTCCATAAAAAATTAAGTTTAATACAACAAAATATGATATACTTTCAACTGCATACTAGTAAAATGTCCACTTCAAAGGAACAAGACAATCATGTAAAATGTTGGTATAATTATTTTGTTTACTTTCCAATCCAGCAATACCTGAACATAACCAGCTATTATAGTACTCCATGACACAACATCTCGCTCTTGCATTCCATCAAACAATTCCTTAGCTTGACTCATTTTACCGGATCCAACGTAGGCGGCAATCATGGTGTTCCAAGAATACAAGTCTCTATCCACAGCCCATTGAAAGACCTTCTGGCTCTCCTCCACTAGTCTCCACTTCCCATACATTCCAATCAATGCATTCACAACAAACACATTGTTCACCAAACCAACTTTCACGGCATGAACGTGAACCTGCTCCCCTTCCTGCACGCCCAACCCATTGCCACAGGCACCAAAAGCAAACACAAAGCTATACCGATTCGGGGAAAGGCCTGAATGGCGGGTTAACGAGCGGAACACCACAAGGGAGTTGTGGCAGGAATGGGGTGATAAAGAATGTGCTTTGATCATGGTGTTGTAAATGAACAAGTCTGGTTCAGGAATTTGATCAAACAGTTTGTGGGCATACGAAAGAGAGGCGCAAGCAGCAAGCTTGAGGAGCTTGTTGGCTGAAACAGGGTGTGAGATTAGAGCTGTGGTTATTAATTGGGCATGGGTCTGCTTAATTTGTTGCATTGATTTGCATGAGTCAATCAAAGGGACAAGTCTATAATAGTGATCAGAATGAAAAGGTTTTGCAGAGGTCGTGTAGAACCGAATCATGTTTTGAAAAAGTACTGGTTCTGTTATTTTGGTAATAAATAAGTGTGGATTCTGACTTCAACTTAGGACAATGGACAATTAGCCCAATCTTCTCAACACGATTGGGCCTATTTCAAATGGGCTGGGCCCTTTTGCGCATTGGCAAATTAAAGGCCAAGTTATGGGCTGTAACTGTACTAAGGACTAAGGAATTATTATTGAAGAGGTTGGAAAATATGTCGAGAAAAACTAATAACATAGTCTTTGTTAGTCTTTTTTTTTTTTATAATTTTTTTTAATTACACTTTTATGCGTGTTTCATTAAGAGCATTTGGGACTAGGGACGACAAATATACCCGTACCTGCGGGTAATACCCGAACCCGTCCTGACTTTAACGGGAAATACCCAGTTTGACCGGGTACGGGTACGGGTACGGGTACGGGTATGTACTTACCCGCCCCGTACCCGTACC